TTAAATCATTTTATTACAAATATTATTAGAAATAGATAAATATAATTTGAGAGTATTTTAATATTGTAATTAAGCATTTTTATTTCTTCTGATAACTTATCTAACAATTTTAAAATTATAGCTTATAAATATAAGAATAAGAACAATAAACTAATAATCTTATTAAATGTCTATTTAGATTTAATATAGAAGGTATATATACAATACATTTTTATTTATTTAATAAAAAGGTTATAAATTTTAGATTAAAAGAAGTTAAAATTTTATTATCAAAATCTACTTTATTTTTTAATTAATTTGATGAAAGGATTAAAGAAAAATTAATAGTATTTAATATGTATATATATTAATAATTGTTATTTAATTATAATAGATGAAGAATTTAATATAATATTAAATGATTTCTAAAAGAAAGATGTATTATAATATATACTGATTTATCTCAAAAAATGTAGAATGTAATATTATCTTTATTTATTTGATTAAATAATAATAATTATTATTATTATAGATTTCATATAAAAATATTTATTATATCTATCTAAAGAATACTAAAATTATTAAATTTATTATATCAAAAGAAAGATCAAAAGTATATAAATTATTTTGTCATGTAAAGTTTATATAATATTATACTTTTAATACTAATTTATTTTATTATATAGAAAGTTAAAATATAAGTTTAAAGTTATTTTGAAGAGTAATCAAAAGTATCATTTCACAAATATAAATATAATGTCTTTATTAACTTCTTTTTTCTTATTTATCATCTTTTTTTTTAAATTTTATTTTTTTTTATTTTTTTTTGATATGAAATTCTATATTGAGTAAGTAAAAATATTTTCTTATTTATAATAATTTAACTTATAATTAAGTAAAAAAAACTTTATTTTATTTGATTTTTATAGTTTTAAATAGAACATATACATTTAGAAAATAAAATTTTATATAAAAATATATATATTTATATTATCATTCAATATCTAATTCAAATTTATTTGATTTTTTTTTTAAAATTTTTTTATTTTTTATTTTTTTCTTTCTTTTTTTAAAATTTTATATTTTTATTCTCTCCTTTTCTCAAATCTTTTTTTATTTTTAATTTTTTTAATTTTTTTTATTTTTTCTTCTCTCTCTCTTAAATCTTTTTTTTTAAATTATTTATTTTTATTTTTTTATTTTTTTTCTTCAGCTTTATTATTATTATTTTTTTTTTAATTATTTCATTATTTATTATTTTAACTTTATATAATATTATATATTTAATAAAAAAATATATTTAATATATATTATTTATAGAAAATGTTAATAAAAAATTAAGTTTCTTTTAACCTATCCAATTTTTTTTAATATTTTATCACTATTTCTCATTATATAATTATTATTTTTATTATTTTTATTATCTATTTTATTTGTATCATCATTAAAATCAATATTTCAAATATTTATATTCATTTCTAAAAAGTTATGTAAAATTATTGCATAGCATATAAAAAATTCTCATTTTAACTATTTTTAATATTAAATATTCTAAATTTTACTTTTAATTTTCTAAAAGTATTTTTATTATAGCTCAATAATGTAAATAAAATTTTTGAAAACTAGGATCTTTAAAAGATAAAATTAAAAAAAAATAGAATAGGCTGAATTACCTAAAAGATAATCATCATCTTGAATAAGGTGAGAATAATTTTTATAAAATAATGAATTTCTAAAAACTTGAACATTATGCATTGAATCTATCAGCCCACATCATTACTAAAAAAAATCTCTTTATTATTTACAATACTTTGACAATAAATAGCATAACATTTTTTCTAGTATAGTAAACTTCTAGATCTTTATTTAATGCATTTTTTATAGGAATATATATTCTATCAACTACTTCAATTACATTTTTAAGTCCTCTTAAATTTTCAAATTCCTTATAAATAAAGATGGTCCCTATAATTATTCTCAAATTTCAATTGAGTTGCAACTTAATTGTGCTATAAGGAAATTTAATTGCGTCACAAGTTGCAACTCAATTGTGCCAATTTTTTTTTAATTGTAGTGACCATCTTTACTTATAAACTTTTTCACACTTCTCTAAAGTAGGCCATTTAATAAAACTTTTTTTTATCATAATTGTTTGAATAACTTATTTAGTATAAAGAATCACTATTCCTTCTCCTATTCCAAATCTTGAACAAATCTCAAATAAACTTCTAGTGGATCCAAATCTGAAAAGAAATATAGCTAATTGAAATTCAACACAAGCTTGAATTTTATTTTCTTGTGATAAAATACAAGATGGAATTATATAAGGTTAGCTAATTGTTGAAATGATGTGAAAACATTCTCAAAAGTTTTTTAAATCAAACCGAATCATAAAATGAAAGGACATTTTGCCACTAATGCTTTGATTTTACTAATCTTAGTCTTAAATACCATGTATTTTACTCGTCTTATTAAAGCAGTTTGTAAAATAACATTATCTTCATCACTTGAAGTTTTCGCATCCTCTTCTTCATGTTCTTCTAAAAACACAGCACATTATAAAAATTTCTTTGCGGTTCATATTGCGTAAAAGAAGCCACTTATGTCTATTTCAATGTGTTTGTTCAATTTCAACTACGATCTGATTGGCTAGAAATTTTTCGGTCAATCCGATCTGATCTAGAATTGAACAAGGCTTATGAATATCGAAAAGAGTTCGTCTGATTGGCTAATTTTGTGTATAAATATTCTTATCTTCGATACACGGTCCCATTCAGCTTCTCTTCTCATTTTTTGTATTTCGTTGTTTAACGCCAATATCTTTTTTTCGAGTTTGGCGATATTTTCTGACACAGCCGAAGCTGATGATAGGTATTTGCGTAGGAATAAGAACACTCCTATAAGAAATATATATATTATAGCATTCCTGCAAAAATACCTTAGAGTATATCTATTGATAAGTAGTCCTGGAAAATCATCTTATAAATTGCATCATATGTGAATGAAATCATTTTTTATTAGAGAGGGTCGATAGGTAAAAAGTTGATTTAATTTGTTTCATTCGCGAAAATTATGTTTCGATGGTTTATGCACAAAATCCTAGTCCTCAATCCATCCCTTGAAGCTATGCTCCTGCGGGAGATAAGCAAATGAAAATTTAAGATTATGTAAAAAGCAATAGAAAGTTGTCCCTCCCGAGAAAATCTATTTTTGAGGGGGTAAAATTCAGGGTGAAACATAATTACTCCTTTTTTGATCAGAGATTTTGTGTTGTATAATTCTGAAGAGAGAATTTTTTTTTCTACTTGCTTTCTTTTTCTGAACTATGTGGAAAAAAATGGTATTTTTTATAATTCCTTCGCAGTTAATCGCTACGATCAGCGCAAAACATTAAAGTCTTAATATCCAATAATTTGCCGATCCTAAATTTCAGAAATTTAACCCGCATTAATCTTCTTTTGGTCGAATGATCGAAATACAGCATTATAGGGAAAGTTATTACTGGCCCTCCTTTGAAGCACAGCTTCTGCGGGAGATAATCTATCTATTTTAATAAATTAATTTAACGATACTACGCTGGCAATTTCGAGATTTCTGATGATTAGGTAAGCAATTCGGTATATGTACTGTAGTCCGATTAGTTTGATCTTTTTTGTAGTGATACTGCACAAACAAAATTCATGCTGACGGCAATTATCAAATAAAGCGGAAAAGATTAATAAGGTTATATAACTGAGAAAATCGATTAGAAATGTGATGGCATTCTTCTAGAATATAGCTGAGCATTCATCCACATTTATTTTGTAGGATAATTCGGCGACGACGATCGATTGATGATATTTGATGCAAAGGTAAGATTTTATTAGTTTCGCTTGATTTTTTTGCTAATAATTACACGAAGCGATAAAAGGATTAACAGTGAAACTTACCTTTTCCCTTTCCCTTTTTTTATTTTTGTAGCTATATACACCGCGTGATTTGATTCCGAAATGTTATGTAAAGAAGCTTAATTCATGGTATAAACTTGAGACTTCGCAGTTTTCTCAGCTACACCAGTTTTAAAACGAATATCCAAAACCTTATTTTGGTATGAATCTCTATAATTATACTAGCTCACAAGTTATTTTTGCTTAGCTTCATAATTTTGCCTGCTGCAACTTCGGCATTAGAAACTAATTGGGTCAAATCACGTTCATCATCATCAGCTATGGCGATATTGTCTTGGGAGTATTATTTGATGAGGTGAGTGTTTCTTTTTGAATAAATAAAATAACTCAACTTTCTGATTGTATGGTATTTTTCAAACAACAGGTGAAGAGGCTCCCTGAGATGAATTATGCTTGTTTTCTAAAGAGCCGGAAGGAGTCAAAGACTCGGTGTCTTATGATTAAGGGTTATGAGGGCATCAACTTTTGGCATAACTTTAAAGGTTGAATATAAGTCTTGGGCCTGATTTTTTGCTGGCTCACGCTGGAATTTCTTCTTTGTATTCCTCTGCCATATCCCGTTACTAATGCTTTTTCTTATGTGCATCATCCAAGAAAACCCTGTCTTATGATTACTCACGCAAGATGGCAGAGAAGTGGCATTGTCACACTGGTCTATAATGGAGCTAGGTACATTAACAACATCCTTGGGAGAAATATCTTGAGCTTGTTGCTTGATATCCTCAATGTAGTCTCTTAGTTTCACCATTTCAGCTTTAAGCTCAGCATTCTCTGCATCACGCCTAGCATTCTTGACATCAGTATCTGCACTACGGCTCTTAGCTATGTATTCTCAGTTTTAACTTCGTTATTTTCAGCTATGACTTCAGCATTCTCCTTTCTAAGTTCAGTAATATTAGCTGAGCTTCGAATCCAATTCTCTTAATGAATCAATCTCATCATACGAAGTCGCGTGAAAGTTCTTTTGGAACAATGACAATGGCGGAATGCTTTATTGAAAATAAGTCATACTTAAAGCACATAAAAGTAAACTACAAAGAGACCTCGAAAACAGCTAAATTATTGTTCCTATATTTATAACTCATTTTCATTTAAAATTTCTTCACGAATCTTAACTAATGCATCCAGCACTTCATTTTTATCCGTTGGATCAGAAAGATCCAAACCACTACTCAAACTATTCTCAGCCGGCCATCTTTGAATCACAACTGATGATTCTTTCGGCAGGCCATTTTCAAGCTCCTGCCAATACGTTGTAGGGATCATAACTTTATAAAAAGTAACATATGTTGTGATTACACGAACGGCCCATGATATCTGATCCGTATAACCCGGGTTCCTACGATTCTCAAGACGAAGGGCACGTATGTAACTTACATTCTCATTATAAGAAGCAAGAATCTCTACAGCGATCTGAGATTCCCCATATCCAGTTCTTAGCCCGGTATTCCTTAGGTGGTTGTCCTGTTTAAAAAGTTGTTTGAGTCGATGAAAAATAATAACTTGTCGACCGATCAAAAACATACAGACCTCTACTCCGATAATAGTAGATCTTTTATTCTTAATTACGAATTCGGGAATTGATGACACGTAAGGCTCCTCCTCGATGTGTAGTTTACATGGCGGGTGATTTCTGAAATTTGAGAATTCGAACTTTAACCAATTGAAGTGCCACAACAAAAGGCTTACCATGATTACTTACCTGATCATTAAGGGGAAGTTATTAAGCTTAACGATACGAAGTAGATCATCCAAAAGTGTGTCAGTAGAAGATTCGTCCGTGCCTAACACTTGAAAACCATTCAGCACAACGTTATGCAATTTGGTAGCGAACGTTTGAGCTTCAGGATGCGAGATGCTTTCAACCTCACAGACATCAAAAAATGGATTTCCAAGTATTTTACGATTAATACTGGGAAGAACATACCGTTCCGGAACGTTGGCTAGAAAATATTTAAATCATAAGTATTGAATCGCTAAGAGAAACGTTTGATCCAACGTATTTCATACCTTCACATGAAGGAAGACATCGTTCTTATTTGAAGCTGGTTCGAATCTCACTCTCAATAGCTTAATATCATTGATTTTGAAATTAGATGCTGAATTAGGAATTTTGATTAAATTATCACTAGAGGTGGGACTGAGCCTAGTGGCTTCTGCAAGAAACGAGTCTTGGCTGGCAATGCGCTTTGATCGCCGTGTAGGGGTAGAAGAACCTTCACTTTCACTTTCTTTTCGTTTCTTTGAAGTTTTTGAAGTTTTTGACATCATAAAGAAATAATTGTAAGACACCGATAAAAAAAAAATGAAAAAAAAAAGGTTTTTGATCCCAAGCATGTGCAGATCGGCTCATTTGATCGATCTGTTAAAATTTTTTTTTTTATAGTCGACATATCGACAAAGTATTGAAAATGTATTAATAACACATTTTATTAAATCAAGTCAAAATTTTTGAGGATTCTGATAGTGAGGAATCAAATGATTCTGAAAAAGAACAATTTTGCGCTGAAGGTGATGAAGTAATTCTTCTTGGATTATGTTCTTTATTAGATTCTCATTATTTAGAATCGCGTATTTACAGGAGAGTTGCTAAATCTTAAGAGTAGTGGCATTTAATTGTTTCTAGATATGATGATATTAGATTTAAAAGAATCATGAGGATGGATTCACAAAGTTTTCAAAACCTTATAACAAAAATCCAAACACATTCAATTTTCCTGTCAACTGGTAATAAGCAATAAGCTCCAATTTATTACAACTAGCTATTTTTTTTTATGAAAAGTAGAATCAAAAGATAAAATTTTTAGCATACTGGGAGGGGGACAAAATATTGCATAGTTTTATTTTTAGCGTGAAAATTTTTTTATTAGGATTGACAGTTAATTTTATTTTGTATTCAGAAAAAATTTCCTTCTTTGGCTATGATTAATTAATTAAATCTATATACCTTATTATTTAGAAATAACAATGATAATAAGCTAAAAATGTAATTATAATCAATTTTTTTTAATAAATTAAATAAATTTTTATTTAGTTAATAACATTTAATTATTATAATAAATCATATGAAATTTAGCATTAAAGATTAGTAAATTTTATTAAATAAAAATTAATTTTTACATAAAACTAAAGTTAATTAATAGTCCTATTCAATCTGATCAATCTATCTAAGCTTTGTATTTAAAAAAAGAAAGAAGAATATGTAAAATTTAAAATGTTAAACAAATAAAGAATAAAAAAAATAAGAAAATGAGCTTTATTATATCCGTTTAGAATTCAGAAATGAAGAGCTAAAAGAAATATCTAAAAAAGAAAGTAAATAAACATTAAAATGAAATAAGAAAATAAACTTATCATCTTAGATTTAGCCAAAAAGCCTAAAAATAAAAATAGTTAATAAACAACAATTAAGCAAAAAATTAAGCAAAAAATAAAGCGAAACAAAAAATAACATAATGAACTTAACATTTTTAGTTATTAAACAATAATCAAACAAAATAATAAAATAAAGTAAAAGAATAAAATAAACTTATCATCTTAGATCCAACTGAAATATTAAAAGATTAAAAAATTGATTATTAAGCAGTATAATAATGAAATAGAAATAATAAAATAAAAATAAACTATAAATATAATATATTACAATATAATAATTTTAATTTCTAAAAATTGTATAATTACATGTATAAGTATATCTCTATATAATCACATTATAAGATAAGGTTAAAATAGAAAGAATTAACTATATTTTATATTTATTAAATTTATATTTTATAAACTTTTTTTTTTAGAATATTATTTATATAATAAAAAAATTATTTATCACCTCTCAGTTACTTCACTTCTCCTGTTTATATTATATAATAAAATATGTGATAATTACTGACAAATAATTGTATCATGTAAAATTATAATTAATAAAACATATTTTTTAATAATATATGCATTTTATATATTGAAAAATAATGAATATCATTAAGTATATGATGATTGAAAGAAGCTGAACCCAAATTACTACTGTAATTCAAGCTGGCTGCCAACTTGAATTATAGTAGTAATTTGAGCTATAAATATTTTTAGCGTTAACATCATTATTTTATTATTATATATATTTTATTCCTTATATATTTTTAAATTATATCCTATTTCTTTACATTACTATATATATATTCCTTTCTATTAGCATTTTTTTTGCTTAGATTATTATTACTTTTTTTACTGAAAATTTCTATGCTAAATTTTAATTTAATATTAGCTAAATGATCTTTTGTAATATGTTTTAATAGATTATTAATTTTATCTGTAATATATATTCTTTTATTAGATTCAAAAATAATCTTATTATCAATTTTCATACTTCTTATGATACATCTCATTTATAAATCACAAAATGTCATGTAACTTCAATTATTTATAAATCAGAAAAAAAGTAATAATTTATAAAATTAAACTGATAGATTAATAAAATATGATGAGCTGATTATTTCTAATGTTTTTATTTTTTAAAAAATAATCTACATATTGTACTATTTTAATTTAAAGTTTAAGAATATTTTATATGATATATATAAGAAAAAAATAATTTTCAGATTGAGGATCAGCATATAAACATAAAAATTTTTATATGAAAATAATGGAATTTTCATAGGATCAGATTGATAATAACTATAACTTATCTATTAAAATAACAAATTCAAATCAAAAAATAAGAATAAAATGATAATAGAAGGTTTATAAAAAAATTACAGCTTACTGATGATTCAGGGGATAATGATAATTAGGAAGATAAAGATAATTAGAGGAATAAAAATGATAGTGTGTGGGATTATAAGATTAATTATTTGAATGAAAAAGCTGCTTATGATTAAGTAAAAGAAAAACCTCTTGAGTTAGTTTAGTTAGATAATGCATATCTAAAAATAAAAAAAAACGTGAATCTTATCTTACTAAAAAAACAAAAAAAGGTTAACATATTTTGATAAATATGAATCAAACGGCTCTTTTACAAAAGTCGCAAAGGGAACTGTAAAAATAACAAATTACCTGAATAAATTAACTCTAGATGATTTTAAAGAGATTTTGGATGACACAAAAAATAAGAAATAAAATTAACTTATTTTAAATAAAAAAATTGAAAATTTGAAAATAGAACTTCAAAAGTAACAAAAGGTATTAACAGTAATTGAATATAATAAAAAGCATGCAATTTTTGAGTACTTAAAGAGATTAGATAAAAATGAGTAAGGAAAAATATAAGCTAGCAAAGAAGCTGCAGAATTAGTTTATATTAAGCATGCACTATTCTGAGCAAGATCTATTTAATACTAGGCCAACTACATCAGTAAATTTAATAATGCGAAGTATTACGTAAACCCTATGCTTCGTAATCTTACGTAAGGTTACGAGCCCGT